AAGTGAAAAAATGTATACTAGATATATTAGATTTTGCAGTGTCATTTATGACAAGGTCCAAACTATGGTTACAACATGGTACAAAAAATGCTCGTGGGTTAATGTTTAATATTCTTCTGTGAACACCATTGTGCTTACCCTTCATATTTGAGCCGTAATCGTATCCTTGCCCGCGAAGGTTATGAATGTCTAAGCCGGAATTTTCTAAAATTTGTTAAACCTTCACCAGTTGCATCGTTTACAGGACAAAATGTTAAAAATCTCTCTTTCACACTTGCTCTAATATTTTTCAATTTTACATATCTGAGACAAACTGAAATGTGCTCTTGATGGCTCACATCGGGAGGACAGTCAAGGAATATAGCAAAGTACTTTGCGTTTTTCACCTCATTTAAAATACTATTTCTTATATTACCTCCTAATAATTGAATTGCCTCGTTTTGCATTTTATTCCCTAAATAATTCGGCATATATTTTTGTCCTTCTCTCGGTTTTTGCCATCAATTAATTTGTTCAGACATAATGGGGTCAAATTTCCCTAACATCTCTATACACCTTAGAAAATTGCCGTTGTTTTTTTGAAATAAGTTGTTATTAGAGCCACGAAACGACAATATTTGTTCTGCCAAAAACTGAATAGTATAAATAATTCTTGAAATAACTAAATCGAGCCAGTACTTGATTTCCCTGTATAGTGCATTCTGCATTTCCGAATCTACAGTTTGGTTCGTTTTTAGTCGTTTCAAAAAATCTGAATAAAGACGTATTTTGGATTTCTCCTGATGTATAATTGATTTTGCTCGTTTCATAGAGTTTTATATGTTCGCTCAAGTGAGGCCAGTCATTAAATCCAGCATGGCTGCTTAATTTTGTATGTTTGGCAATGCTTGAATCATCGAATATTTTACAACAAACACAATCAATAACATTTTTCTCGGCCGAATACAATAACCACTCTTTTTGTCCTTTGGTTAATGATGATCGCTATTTTGGTAATGTGCCGAATTTTTACAACCAATTCTTTAACTTGGGATGGAGATAATGGCCCAGGCCATAAGTCCGGATCCTTAGAAATGGGTAAAGACCCCACTATTTCTGGTACCCTATCTGAATTAAAATCTTCTCCAGGGCCACTTTCTTTTTTATGCTGCTCGGTTGCGATTAATTCCGTCTGATCATCTTCCGCTTGTTTATTGCAGTATGAAGGTAACGAAATAAAATCTGGATCGACTTGATGACCTACATCTACTCTCATTGCAGTTGACGGACCACTACAATTATCCTCAGTACTGCCTGGAAGATTTGTAGAAGCTACAGCGGATTTCTCAAAAAATACGGTAATTTTTGAGCTGGCCTTTTCTATTTCATCTTCTCGTTTCCTTTTATTGGGAAAATGTTGATATCCAGATAATTTTTTTCTTTGTTCTTTTCTAGCCATCTGAGGAAAATGATAACACATTAAAATTAAGATAAAAAATGGTTCTAATCGAATTGAAATGGAGACTACGGCTTTATGTCAGTAAAATCAAAAAGTGAAGTTAAAATTAAAAATCATTTATTTATTAGATGTTATTACTTTTATATTGTTTTGTTTGAAACCGACATAGATTTCTAATAGAAATAATGGTAATTTTCTAGTTATGTCACGATTACGGTGGAGTATTTTCACTTCTCTTACCTTGTAGATAATCCTTTTCCTAACACTTTTTCTTAGTGGTGTTTGCGCGGAAAATCGTTTTTCTGTCATTTTTGCTCATTTAAAGTTGACCAATTTCGAGGCCATTTAAGCCATTTTATCAACTTTTTGTTCTATTTTGTAGTTTTGGTAGTTTGATTTCTCTAAAACTAATCGTTTTGGATCAGTTTGGCTTAGAATGTTCTTTCCTTTTCAGTAAAATAACACAATTTTCTAAAACTATTATTACAGTGCCTAAGCTAGAAAGGTAATTTTCCCGTGTGGCCAAGGTCAGTTGAAGTTAAATAACATGGTGGAAAACAGTATTATTTTATTGAAAAGGAAAGAAAATGGGAACCCAAACTAACCTAGAATTATTAGTTACACAGGTATGAAACTTCCAAAAATACAAAATCGGACAAGAAGCGGATTAAATGGCTTAAATGGCCCCACAATAGGTAAACTTTAATTGAGTGAAAATTGATACAACAACGATTTTCCGCAGCAAACACCACTAAGAAAAAATGTTTGTAAAAGGATTACCTACAAGGTAAGCAAAGTGAAAAACTCCACCGTAATAGTGACATAACTAGTAAATGAAGGAATAATAAGTATCTACACGATATAGATTATTTTAACGTCTGTAAAATATTTAAAAAAATTATAATCGGATGTTTTGTATGTACATAAGTAAATTTTAGTAAATTACTTACCTAACTTATTTTTTGTCTTATTTTGGAACCAAACACTAAGTATAGAACAAGTTACTTTTTCCGCGAGGAGCCGGATTATTGAGCCATCGAGCGAAAAACGTGAGGAAATCGAACTGTCAGAAAGCAATCCAAGTTCAGTGGGCGTACGGCTTTCAACAATTTATTGTTTCGCTGAAATGAAAGTGGGCTTTGAAGAACCACATGTCGTACGAGGAGTTCTGAGAAATTTTTTAAATGATAATACCGCCGCTGCGCCTTCTGACTTTTGGCGCCGTCGTGTAGTGCACGCCTAGTTATAATATCCTATTTAGCCAACTTCACAAATTCATGAAATTCTATTTCGCAGCTAAGCATAAGGAAATATCTAATTATGCTTACGAAGTACATATAGTTCTTTAGTTTCACAGATAGCATGTCAGCAACTGTAAACTCATCAGCATTAAATCAGTATATATCCACACAAGCCTGTAATAACAAACAGTTGTATCTTGAAGCTGAAATCCATGTCAATTGAAATAAAAATTGTTTTAGAAACTCCCTTTTCAAGGAAGTGATTTTAACTGTCTTCGTACTAATGGACGACGCGACCCTGAGTTGCTAAAATTTATATGAGAACGATTTTTTTTCTAGGAAAAGACATATTAACGCTGAAAACCACTATTAACTGTTGAGAAAATCAACCAATAGTGTATCACAAAATTACTGGCGATTTTACTATATAAAACCGATGTCCAGAATCTTGCAATTAAAGCTGTATATACATCTTAGATACAGGTATTCTAGAAGGTGGCCAGTTTCTGCATGTAATCTAAAAACGACCGGTTTTGTTGAACGAAAGCGTCTATAAAAGACATTTCGCCAAGTGCATCGAAATAATTTGTCCGGAGTAATTGTCAACTTGAAAGACCATAATCAATTATTTAAGTGTTAAGATATTTCTCGGGAATAGTTTTTCAATTTGTTGCCTAGTGGTCTGCTGGTCCGGGTACAATCTGTGCCTGAGGTTGAGTCTTTTTGTGATAATTTGATATGCCTTTCCTCAGATGTCCTTTTCAAGCTCTGCGCATGGTTCCCTACATTTGATCTTTTTGCTCGAACGGATTTCCTTTTTGAGAGCCGACTTATTGTGTTTATGTTCCTCCGTGAGCTCATAGACTTGCTGGAAAGTTTTGGGGTTTTTGCGCGCTCTCATCAACTTTCGCCTGGAGGTTGCGCAAGCACATCTGAGGTTCCCTATCTCAGCATTCCACCAGTACACTGGGGGGCGCTCTGAGCCGCTCGACCTTTTATTGCCACACTTGTCCAGTAGTTTTGCGATATCGTTGGTAAGGGTTTGTGTTGTGTCCCCACGCTTGGTCTGATGACTGGTTTTCCATGCGACCGCCAGCTCCGTAATCACAGCGGGTTTGATGGTCCATCCTACCCGGCTCAGTCTGGTCGTGTTTTCACCGGGTTTGCACCGTATTTCAAAGCATGTTGTGGTGATCGCAAAAGTTTTCAATATCTGGCTCGACCCTCCTTTTGCCAACTCTCCAACTAAGTTGTTCTGTTGCCGCCGTGAAGTCTATGATAGAAGTGCCGTTGGCATTCTGGAAGGTCGGCGTATCCCCCTCATTTAGGATGACCAGTCCATTGGCCAGTATCCAGTCCTGCAGGATCGAGCCGCGCTGGTTTGTGGTTTTGGACCCAATTAAGTTGGTTTTGGCATTTAGGTCTCTTCTTATCACGACGTTTTTCCCTTGGTGTCTAATTATTCTTTCGATGTTTTGGAGTAATCTTTCGAAATCAGCCACCTCTCCGTTTGGGGAAAAGTAGCACGAGAGGAAAACGCAGGTGCTCAGTTCCACATGGACAAAGCCCTCTCCACTTCCACTCTTGATGACATCATGCTTATTGTCTACGTTTATCAAGCTGTCTCGGTTCGCATCGTGGAAGTCGATCCGGCTTTTTCCACCTGACCTAAGGTTACGATTATATTTTCTTCCGCGATTGTGGGCTCCATTAGGTCGTGCGCGATCCTGCATCTATTTAGGTTGATTTGGAGTACCGTTATTTGTATTTGTACTGTATTATTTTACTGGCCATTTATGTGTTTTGTTTGCTTTTTTTCGTCGTGGTTGGTCCACTCTGCTCTGTTACCTCTTGGTATTTTTGTGATTTCGGAGCGGTATCGCTTTCCTGTCAGTACTCAATCATAGTTTGTTGATGCTGCCTCTCCTTTCTTTTGAAAATCGGGCAGCTTCTGTCTCTTGCTGAGACTGGCTCTGCTTGTTTTCTGTCCTGTACTTCGAAACCGGCCGCCTTGCAATTGGGACATGGGTTTTCCCGCTTGCAATGCCATTTTTCGTGTGCCTGCCCGCAGAAATGGCATGGCGCCGCATTTCTTAGCAGCTTGACCAAATTTGTTGCAGTTATGGCACATGGTCACGCCGATCTCTTCCTATATGTAGCAGGAAACCCAGTCGATGTAAATCACCTCCTTTTTAACTAGGTATCTAAATAAGTCGGGGCTCGTCTCTATTAATATATTTTCTTTTTTATTGTTCAAGCAGTCTCTTCTGTGTAGCACCTTATGTTTCTCTGATATTTGGCCATTTGTTTTGTCTTTGATGTCCGGATTTTCGTCGCACATGGTTTGCAGGAGTTCCTCGTCCGAGTACCCCCACGCCTGTCAGTTTAACCTTTGGATCTTGCCTTGATAGGCTTTTTGTTTTTATTTCGGCGCTAGTGTCGAGTTTCCGTTCCTCTTTTTCCTGTTGTTCTTTATTTCTGTAGACTATAGTTATCTTGTTGCTCGTAGTTTCGGTCATGCTTATGCACATGTTTTTTCGGTCTCCGTCTCCGAGATGTCTTCTCAGACTGTGCTTTCCCGTTCCTTTGGTTTTTCCCAGACGTGCGACCCCACCAGTGTGTTGCTGGGGGTGCCATATATGTCGTCCTCCTCAGTATCTGTTACCAGATTCCTATTTGTTAGCTCCTCTGCGGCTGTTAGCAAAGCTTTGACCTGTTCCCCCTGTTCCGGGGTTAACGCCTTCTTACGGATTGGGCCGGAGTTTTCTCTGTTTTCTGTCTTATTATTTGTGGTGACCGTGCCAGAGATCTTTTCGGTATGTTTTCCATGGTTTTACTGTTTTCCACCAGCTCTTCCCAATTGGCACTAGTGTCCATTTGTTTTCTCTTTGTGGTTGTTTCCTTTCCTTTGTTCATGACACGGTTTTATTTGCCGTTCGCAAAAAACCAATTTGCATTCGTCCGCGCGCCTGTATCGGGACCGTTTTCGCGGCCCGGTATACCGACATCCGCGCTGTTTCTTATCGCGTCCTCACTTGTGCTACAATTAGCTGGATATTTACCCATATTTCCTTGTCCCTATTTGTAAACAGGCTCAGCGGGCATTGACCGATGGCTATGTGTCCACTATAGCTCGCACTTTTAATTGATTGTCCCACTAATTGGTCAAATAACTCTCTCACATTTAACACTTTGTCCATCAAAAATCGTCAAGTTTGCCGTTTTAATTTCGCCTCAAATTATTTCGCGCTCCCGCTGGCAGAATGTCGACCATTCGCCGTGAAAGCTAGCGCGACTCAACCCAAACTAACCCTTTTCTTCTATTTTTTTACCGAGGTTTGAGAAATCTGTTGGTTGGACTGCCCCAGGCTGGTGTTCTCGCGCTTGGGGGTGTGCCGGGATGACGTTCCGTTCCAGGAAACAGCGACCGGCTAAAACTATTTCCTCTTTCTAAGCCCCTTCTCCTCCCAGAACCGTGTCAACATTACTTCAGGGTAGAGGGTTGCCTGCCGAACGTCGGCGTCCTGTCCTGCCTATTGCCGTGGAGATTACATTTTTCTTTCCAGGTCGCATTTGGTCTCCATTATGTCCTGGATTATTGGACGTATGACGTCCCATCCGTCTTTGGTTGCTAGAATGGTCTCCATTGCATCCTTGGTGATGCGTTTGCCGCAACTATCTGCGGCTTCCGCTCTGATGCCTTCAAATTGGCGGCCTACGAATATGGCATGCTCCGGTCTGTCCGAATCTTCGCAGAACCAGCATTAATCCGATTCTTGCTTCCTGATAATTTTTAGATAGCTGCCGAAGGCTCCGTGGCCGCTTATTGCCTGTGTGACGAAATGATTCACGTCCTTGCATCGTTCCTCCTGCAGCTATACGTTCACGTCTTTGATGAACTAATGCGCCCATCCTTCGTTGTCGCCCCATCTGTCGGTCCATTTCCGGGTTCGCGCGGACCTGTGTTGCTTTCTGGAAGCCTTACCGTCCTCCTGGATACTGATCCTCTCTTCGACCATCAGGTCCAGTGGAGGCAGCCCGGCCAGCACTTGCGCCACCTGTGTATTTATAGTCCGGTTCGCTGCCGTAATGCAAATAGCCAGCCTTCTATTAACTCTATCGAGTAGCGTTTTGTACCCTTTGTACCTTAGTGTTTTTTGCTTTTGCTCCGTACAGCACCACCGACTGCACCGTGCTGGCCAGTAGCCGATTCTTCGCCGCTCCAGGTCCGCCTATTTTTGGTGTAAAGCTCATCATAGCGTTAATTATCCCGTGGGCCTTGTTTACAGTTTTTTGAACATGGGCAGTCATCCGCATATTCTTGTTCATGTAAACGCCCAGATATTTCGCGGCCTCTTGGGTCACTATTATCTCGCCTCCTATGCTCACTTCCGCGGTTCTAATTTTTCTTCTACCAGCTACAAGTATGATTTCGGTTTTCTCGGGAGCGATCCTAATTCCCATATCGTTAAGCTTCTTGCTTATTAAGCCCATGTTGTAACTGGCCTTGTCTTGAAGTCCCTCCAGATTCCTTGCTTTAACCACTAGGGCTATATCGTCTGCGTAGCCGGTTATTGACACCCCGTCCTCCAGCTTCTCCCTCAGGATATCGTCGTAGAAGATATTCCAAAGTGTGGGGCCCAGCGTGGATCCTTGTGGGATTCCACACGTCATGTCAAAGGCGGACCCTTCAGGATCAATGATCTTGCGGTTTTCG